TGTCTATGTACTAATCCCAGATGCCTCCTTCCTATATCCGGTCCTAGCCTCCTACGTCACTCCCTCCCCCTTGGTGTGCTAAACTCAGACAGCCCCTTCTGGTATCTGACCCTACAGTCATTGGCTAGTAAGTGGGCTGGGGAGGAGGGGCTAGGTAGGTATTTAGGAACGAGCGTGGTCAGATCACGCGCTCTCTCTCTTGGCTCCTGCTCTGTTGCTCTGGCCTTGCTGCTTGGGCTTGCTGTGATGGCTTGCTATGATGGCCTCTGAATAAAGCTCTGGTGTTGGCGCCTCCCGATGGTTCCTCTCTGTGTGTTTATCCGGTTGAGGACCGAAGACTCGGAAGTGAGTATGACTCTGGTAGCCTGCTCCTTATAGGAGGAGAAGGTACGGCGTGCGGCCGGCAGAAGGTCGGCGCGGCCGGTACACACCACCTTCCTTCAGACGCCATTTTCCTTTACAATGACATGCTTCCAGTCTCACCTCTCTCCAATCCACCCTCTACATAGTTGTCAAAATCATTCCTAAAGACACCTGTCAGGCCATGTCTCCTCTCAGACCTTTAGTGGATAAGTATTGGCTCAAGGATATTTCTTAGCAAGGCTTTGAAGCCACAATCTGACCCTGCCTAACTTTTCTGCCCCATTTCATATGACTGTCATCCATACCTATTTTCTGGTCCATCCGGGCTATCAGCTGTTCCATGAACTTGATCCTCCATCTTGCATATCCATGCTTTCTCACCAGCTACTCCCTAGTATTTAAACACATTCCCCCCTTCTCAATCTCTCAGAATCCTTGCTGTCCATCTTTTCAAGGCTCAGCTCAGCTTCTGCCTCCTACGAAAAGTCTTTCCTTGTCACCCCATTTGGTAGTGATCTTTCCCTCTACAAATGTCCTTAAACTGAACCATTTGCTCCACTGTCATAACCTAACCTTCCTTGGCCCCTCCTTAAAAGATATCTTCTTGAAAGCAAAAATTGTTTTGCCCTTTGTCTTCTGTAATTCACCTAGTGCCTTGCACATAGGTACTTAATGAATGACCACTGAATTGAATTGATGACTTAGGCTCATATAGGGTTTTTTTGGTTTTTTTTTTTCGCATTTTTTGCATTTCCTTCATCTCTAATCAACTATTAAGAGTATAGAGATTAGGCCCAGTAAACTGTTTGGAAGTGGAGAAAAGATATACTGGAATTTGGAAACTTCCAATATGAATCATGAAAATGTAGAAAATTGTGAGTTGACAATATTCCTATATACAAATAAATCAATCAAAAAGCATCTATTAAGCACAAGAACTGTAGTGTAATCTCTGCCCTCAAGGAGCTGCATTTAATACATACATACATATATGCATATATATACATAAATATAAAATATATAATTAATTAATCTGTACTTTTCAAACTTGTCTCTTTATCTGTGATTCTTTCTGGTTTTCTATTTTCTTCTGTATATTCTTTTAAAAAAAAAAAGCTGCTTCAATGACTCTTTCCATACTTCACTATTCTATTCTATTCTATTCTATTCCTATCCACACTCTATATCCTATTTTCTTCTTCCCCCAAAAAAGTGGGGGGAAAGAAAAAAAGCACTTTGTTTTATAGGTGTGTGTATGTATACATGTATGTATGTACACATGTATGTATACACGGACAGACATAGTCAAACTAAACAAATTCCCACATTGGCCATGTTTAATATAAACATGTCATATTCTGCATCTTGAGACACTGAAAGGAGGTGAGTAGCATATGAGTCCTGTGGAATTATAACTGGTCACTACATGTATCAATTTTTAAGGACCTCTGCCAGAAAGATACTAGGTCACTATTAACTGGACTATAATAAAAGCAAAGAGACCAATTTACTGCCCAACTGGCTTAGAAATAGTCTGAGTATGCCTTCACTTGAAAAGTTATCCCCCTAAAAGATCTTTGCTTAAAACAATTGTAGATAACTACCCTTAAGTTAGTTCCTCTTTTGAAGGCCCATTTCCCACCTTATGGCATTGTGAAATGTGATTTCCCCGGTTTTTTCCAAATTATGAAAGCATTTTCAACAGCATTTCCTGTTAGAACAGCAAACTCATTATAGTCATTCAACAACCTAATGAATTAGGATGTATGGTCAGGGTGAATGCTTATTCCTTCACCTGCTTAAGGTTTTTAAAACTGCCACCTTCAGAGCAAAATGTAATTTTATTCTCTATTTAATAAAAAAAAATGAACAAAAAGCTTAGAAGTCATGCTATGATTTTTTTACCTAATTACTTGAGGCTCAAAACTGTCAAACATAATAGAACCCTTCAAAAGCCATCCACATCCACCACGTAGCCACTTACACCACTTATATGCCTCATCCTGCTAAACACAGTGATCAGCAAGATTTCATAACTTGTGAAACACTAAAATCTCACTCCGAAAATTCTTAGAGGGTCCTGAAACAATTCTTCCTGGACTAACTGGTACAGGTTTATCACGGCCAATCACAGTCCTTCTTCCCTCTCTTGCAGCTGCTGATATCTGCTTTCCAGAAATACAAAGAGAAACAGATTAAGGAGCTCCACACTTCCCTAAGAGACCCTCTGACTTCCCTTTCTCTTTTGTTCTGCATAGCAATTTGCTCTTTTCCCACAGGCGCTTCCTAATAGGCCTTCTCTTGTGCTCAGGGTAGCTTTTTGGAGCTTGATGAGATGAGAAGGCCAAATTCTATAGAACTAAAGTTGCTGTAGTCTGAGAGGATCCCTGAAGACATGGTGATTAATGAATGCAGAGCATAGGAATTCATAGGAACCTGGCAGAGAGTTTCAATTCTCAGCACAATAACATGTAGCCAGTCAACAAGCATTTATTAAATGCCTACTATATGCTGGACACTGTGTGAAAGCACTGTTGTTTGCCCTTCATTCTCTAAGAGGACCATGACATCAGGGAGGTGATGCCATTGGATTGAAGTGAAGGAGGGCTGTGCAAAGTCACCAGCCTCATTTTCTCCTCTGGAGCCATCTGGGTCCAGTGGCCATATACAGATCAGGCCTGCACTTGGGATACTAAGAAGGGAGTTTATATTTGATTGGGGTGGGGGGACTATATGTGCATGAATTGGTTCAGGTCAGGGTAGATGGAAGGTGACTTGAAAGGGAAGGCATTAGCAATTAGGGTAGAGCAAGGCTAGTACGGGGAGTGGGATTAGAATGGAGTCTTGAAACTAGGCCACGGAATTTAAGGAGCAGAGGGGAGAGGGCAGAGAATTCTATACATGAGTGATTGCCAAGGCAAAGCAATATAGATCTCAGAATCACCTGCATAGAAATGGTAATTGAAGCTGATAAGAGAACGTAGGGCAAAAAGGGCCCAGGACAGAGCCTTTGGGATGCCCCTGGTTAGTGCGCATGACACAGATGATGAGCCAGCAAAGGAGACAGAAGAAATGATCAGACAGATAGGAGGAGAACCAGGAGAGAACAGTGCTGTGAAAACCTAGATGGGAGAGAGAATCCAGGATGAGAAGGTGATCCCCAATGTCAAAAGCTCAAGAGGGGTCAAGAAGGATGAGCAAAGGTCTTTAGATTTGGCCACTGAGAGATCATTCTTCACGGTGGAGAGAGCTGTTTAAGTTGAATAATGAGGTCAGAGTCATATTAAAAATGATTCAGAAGATAATGAAGAGGAAGTAGGTAAAGAACTTTAAGGAATTTAGCTGCTAAGTGGAGGAGACATATAGGGTGACAGCTGGCAGGGATGGCAGGATCAAGTCAGTTTTTTGAGGGATAGGGGAAATACAGGCAAGTTTGCTGGCAGCAGAGAAAGAGCCAGCAGAAAGGAAGTCAAATCTGGCCTCAGACACTTACTAGCTGTGTGGCCCTGGGCGAGTCACTTCACCCTGCTTGCCTCAGTTTTCTCCTCTGTAAAATGAGCTGGAGAAGGAAATGGCAAACCACTCCAGTATCCTTGCCAAGAAAACCCCAAATGGGGTCATGAAGAGTCAGACACGACTGGAATGACTAACAAGGACAACTACTAGATGCAATGGGATCAAGGGTGCATGTTGAGAGGTTGGCTTTGACAAAAAGAAGGAACACCTCTTCATCTGAGACCCAGGTGAAGGAGGAAAACATGGGGTAATATGAAATGAATGATGTGAGACAGAGGGAAAGCAGGAGCTATGACCAGAGGGCTCAGTGGTTATGGTTTGTTTAAGCACGTGGTGAAGTCCTGAGGTGGTAGGAGATGCCATGGGAAGGCTGAGGAGAGAACATAAAAGTCGAGACAGTGAATCAATTAGGGAGGAACAACAGAACTGCCTTGCTGTAGTGAAGGCTCAAGAGGTTAAATAACATAAATTTGTAGTGGGCCCAGTCACGGAGATACATTATTTCCTCCAGCTCTGTTCATGTACAAAATTGGTCATGAATGAAGGAATGAATAAAAAGTTTTGGGGTCTTACGGGAGAAATGATATGAGAATTAGGATGAGACTGGGGCAGTTCTTAAAGAGCTCAGACTTGTGATGCAACATTTGAACAACTGTTCACATATTTTCCTTTTTTGGCCCCAAAATATGTGAGTCAGCTGTTGTTGTTCTGTCATTTCAGTCATGTCTGACTCTTTGTGACCCCACTGGGGGTTTTCTTGGCAGAGATACTGGAGTGCTTTGCCATTTTTTTCTCCAGTTCATTTTACAGATAAGGAAACTGAGGCAAACAGGGTTAAGTAAGTGCCTGAGGCTGGATTTGAACTCCACTATACCCCTCAATTGCCCATTCTGAGAGTCGGAGAGATGAACAAACCATTACTAGTAAATGATTCCATGATGGCAAAATGGCCTCAAAATTAGTGATTTCTTGGGATACTGGTGGCGCATAGGAAATATGCATAATTCTTCTTTAAATAATTCAAAATTTTGTTTGTTTAAAAAAAATTAAACACACCCGGCGACAAGGCCACAAATGGGTACAAATGAGGAAGGAAACCCAGTATAAGAAAGCAGACTAAGTAATTCTGTCTCACACTTCATTCCTCTCCCTGAAGAAACCGCTGCTGCCCTGTGATAATACATAGCTAAACAACACTCTTTCAAGAAAAGGTGATTGCTTTTTTTAAAATTTGTTTCGTAATCATGTATGTTTATAAAGTATATAATTTGCTTTTAGTAAAAATGTTACAAAATTGTTATTTTGTTAAAATTGTTCATTCTACAATCCACAGAGACTGGTGGGCATAAATGTAGCTCCATTAGAAGAACCTGCATGGATTGTTATCTCTTCACAAGGGTCTCTGGGACAGAATGGACTTATTCCTTATAAGTGGATCATGCTGACATCCAACACTGATGAATGTGGGAAGGAGTTATGAAGCTACAATTTAAACATGAATACTAGAAGAACGGAGCAGCTTGCTCTATTAACTTAGATATCTTTGCTCCCTGACTAGGCCACAAGACTTTCTTTTTTTTTAGAAAGAACTTGAGTTTTGAAGATGAATGGGCATGAGGTTACCAGCTTCACTTTAATGGGTCTTTCACTGCAAGGCACTCAGCAAAGGGCAGTCTGTGGTGGATATGTGACTTTCGAAATCACTAACTTCTCTTCCATTTTGTTGCTGTTTTTATAGCTGACAAAGGGAACCATGAATGCCACATTCCTTCAACTCACCAATGGATCCCTCAACTCCACTGACCGCTGCCCCAGAGACAACCGGATTACTCATTTGATCTTCCCAGCCCTTTACACCACTGTGTTCCTTGCCGGGATGTTACTGAATAGCTTGGCTTTATGGGTTTTCTTTAGGATTCCCAGCTCATCCACTTTCATAGTCTACCTTAAAAATACCCTAGTGGCGGATTTGATAATGACTCTGACGCTCCCTTTCAAAATTCTCTCAGAGGCAAACCTTGGACCCTGGCAAATCCGAGCTTTTGTCTGTCGTTTCTCAGCAGTGATCTTTTATGAGACCATGTACATTGGCATCATCTTACTTGGACTCATTGCTTTTGACCGCTTCCTCAAGATCATCCGGCCCTTTGGGAAGTTCTGCGTGCAGAAGCCCATCTTTGCTCAAATCCTTTCTGTCCTGATCTGGTTCACCTTGTTCTTCCTCTCCTTGCCAAATATGATCCTATCTAACAAGGAAGCCACACCACAATCTGTAAAAAAGTGTGCTTCCCTAAAGGGCCCCTGGGGCCTTACGTGGCACAAAGCAGTTAATTATGTGTGTCAGTTTATCTTCTGGACTGTTTTTTCTCTAATGCTTCTGTTTTATGTGGTGATTGCCAAGAAGGTATATGAGTCTTTCAGAAAATCCAAAAGTAAAGACGCCCAAAGCAACAAGAATCTAGAAGGCAAAGTCTTCATTGTCGTGGCCGTATTCTTTGTATGCTTTGCCCCTTTCCATTTTGCAAGGGTCCCCTACACTCAGAGCCAAACCAATAATAGCAAGACGGACTGTGCTGTGCAGAACCAGCTGTTCCTGGCTAAGGAAGCCACTCTTTTCTTGGCCACAACCAACATCTGCATGGATCCCCTGATATACATATTCTTATGTAGGAAATTCACAGAAAGGATGCCGTGTGTGAGGAAACTTAAAATGACAAGCCAAGAAAATCACACCAGTCAAACTGATAACATAACTTTAAGTTGACAGAATTTGTGAGTAACCCCTCATTAAGCGTGTGGGCATAGAAGAAATGTTGTGGCGTGGTTTTGTCTACTTTGGCTGGGAAAATGGAATTTAAGGGTTAAAACAAAGTGTTGGGGCAGGGGAAAGGGAAGGACATGACTGGAATGTACGTGCTCTGCTATTACTTGATTTTCATGCATGTTGCATAGAAAGGATATAGTTAACTTTAATTTCTGAATGCTACGTATGAAGAAAGGGTTGATTCAAATGAACGGAATTGTTCATTAGACTTGGGAGAGAGAAAAAAAACCTACTCCATCTGAGAAAGGGTTGATTTATATGAAAAGATCTAGTTCTCTTAAGAGAACATTTGACCACTAAAAGTTACTTCCAACTTAAAATAAAAAAATAGCTTTGAAATATTGGGGAAGGGGGAGTTATTTGTTGATATCTGCACCCCAGAGTGATCATCAGTTTCTCTCTGAAACCTTGAAATTCCCCTGGTGTACTACTTCCCATTGGTGGCACTTCTGATGAATCCATACATTATGGACAAATGACTTTTATTTGTTATCTCTGGTCAGTTCTACATCTCCCTGTGTCTGCCAGAGTCCAGTGGCATAATCACTTTTCTAAAAGTTTCTTACTCTAGCTATTTAACAGACACACATACTGTCCCCGAAAGGAATGTCTGGCCTGATTCGTCTGGTTAGTAAGGGTCTCTTCCCTCAGCTCCCCCTCCAGTGAAACACACTACCTGTGAGGCCTTGGACAAATCACTTAACTACTCTGGGCCTACGGTACCTCACCTATAAAACAGAGGAGATGGAGTTAGAGACTTCTGAGTTCCCCCTCTAGACCTATTATCATATGATCCAGCCTATATATCTTTATCTGTGTACATGCTGTTTTCCTGCTATTAGACTGTAATCTCCTTGAGGGCAGGAATAGTTGTTTTATCATCTTTCTATCCCCAATCTCTAGTACTATGCATAAATGGAAATGAAATTTCAGAAGAGACCAAATCTTTTGTTATTTTTATAATCCAGAAGATGGAACAATTCTAGATCATGGAATATTAGATTCACAAAGGATTTCAGAGATCATTGGGTGCAACCCTGTCCTTTTATAGATGAGGAAACTGAGGCCCAGTGAAGTTAAGGGACTTTATCTAAGGTTATATAGGCAGTAAGGGGAAGAGGATTCAGGATTTGAACTCAGGCCTTTCGATTCAAAATACAGAGCTCTTTCCACTACTCTAAGCTGACTCTCAGGTGCTTACTGGCTGTTTTCTTTTAAAGAAATAGAAAACCAAAATGGGCTTGGTTAGAAGAACCTGACTTCTTAATCATGACATAGAGATTGTGAGGAAGAAAGAAGTTTATTAGGTATTCTATTCCCCAACTCCGTATCTCAAATGGATTATTTAACCGAACCTCCACTTCTTAGGATCCCTAACTCACTTCAAAGCTCCGTTCAGATTTTACCTATTATGGGAAGCCATTCTGGACCTTTCCCTCCGCCCCCACAACCCAATTGTTAGCATTTTTTCCTTCTTCAAATGACCACATATGTTCTTGTTGTTATTATTCAGTCCTGTCTGACCCTTCAGGACACCATTTGAGATTTTCTTGGCAGAGGAACTGGAGTAGTTTACCATTTCCTTCTCCAGATCATTTTACAGATAAGGAAACTGAGGCAAGCAGGGTTAAGTCACAGGGTCACACAACTAGTTAAGTATCTGAGGTCAGATTTGAACTCATGAAGATGAGTCTTCCTGACTCTAGGTCTTTACATGTTGTAACCTTTGCACCCCTTCTCCACCTTTCCCCCAGAGATTGTAAACTCTTTAAGGTCAGAGACTTTCATTTTTTTCTTTGTATCTCCAGAATTTAATGTGATAATGTATGTATAGTATGTGCTTAATAAACATTTGTTGAATTGTATTGGAATGGATTAGTGTCTGAAGAGATTCTGGAGAGAAGGAAAGCTAGGAAATCACTCTCTCTCTCTTTCCTCCTTCCCCCATCACACACACACACACACACACACACACACACACACACACACACATATCCAGAAGCACAAAGAAACTTTCTCTTCACTAATAAAATATTCTGGAGAATCCAAAAGCAAAAGCAATGGTCTATGATATCTGTTAATATGGCGGTATTGTATTGGCTTTGTAACTGTGAAAACAGTAGGCAGTCTGTGGCAATGACATAAAACATGTTAACCAACCAGGCACTAAAAACAATTTCAAGGATTGTGGAAAGGCTGCCTTTGTAGTATGGTGTAAAAAAGTACAACCTAAAGTAAATCGTCATTGTGATGTTTGCTATTGCATTAGATACAAGTTTTACTAATCTGGGGGAGTCTAAAAGTACCTAACTGAGAAAGAGAGAGTGACCAAATGAGCTCCACACAGCAGTGTAGTTTAATGAACTGAACCCTGATCTTGGAGTCAGGAGAAACCTCAATTCAAAAAGCACACTACTATAACCAGTCATCCCAAGCAAGGTATTTTGTGGTTCTGAGCCTCAATTTCCCCATCCAAAGAAACAGGTATGACATGGCATGCCTCCCAGGAATGTGGCTAAGAACCAAAGAAGATGTTGCTAAAGCGCACTGCAAATCTTAAGGCATTATTCAACAATCAACTATTATTATTATAATAATAGCGTATGGCAGGAACACGTCATTGTTGACTCGTTTCAGTTGTATACAACTCTTTGTGACGCTGTATGGGGTTTTCTTGTCAAAGATATTGGGTGTGGTTTGCCACTTCCTTCTCCATCTCATTTTACAGATGAGGAAACTGAGGTAAACAGGGTCAAACAGCTAGTAAATGTCTTGAGGCCAGATTTGAACTCGGGAAGGAAGATGAGTCTTCTTGATTGTAAGCCTTGTACTCCATGCACTATGGCACCACCTAGCTGCCGTACACAAGGCATATAGGAATCACTTAATTTTTTATTGATTGATTATTGTTATTAAGGGGACACTTGAATTTCTTTTAATAAGTAACGCAAGTATGTGTTGAGGTCACCTACTGAATGGCCTTGTGGGCAGCTTGATTAAAAAATACCCCTAGTGGAGATCTGCAGATGATAGCATTAATGAAATGTTCCAATTCCATTATGTCAATTCTAAAAGATGTTTGTTACTTGTAAACTGAAATCACTAAACTTCTCCCTGAGACAGTGCCCCAGTCTTCTTAATTTTTACCAGTTCTCTGTCATAAGCCCACAGAAACGGTGCTGATCTAGCTGTCCACAGCAATTCAATCAAAATAACTGGGATGAGGTATGACATTACAAAGCCTACATTACCTTTATTCGCCAAGTGTATTACACACTTAGTGGTATGCTTCTAATATTACCATAAATAATTAAATCTGAACCACACTTGTCCAAATAAATGAGCTATCTGGTGTGATGCAACATCATTATCTCATCAACTCCCATCCTCATCTATTTGCTGAACTGAGTCATCATCTCACTATTTCTCTCCCTGTATCCACGTGCAGAAGTGAGTTCCCCCCATGCAACTTTCATGTACCCATGTAGCATTAGGGAGAAAATTAATATATGTATAAATGTATAAAAGATTCCACTTCACGCAGGCTTAATCATGTTTAAAATCAAATTGACACCAGAGTATTTTCAAATTAGATTAGGAAAAAAAGAATAAGGTAAATGATTATAAACAGAAGTTGGATAGCCAAAGAGATTAAAGATTAATTACGGAAATGGAGTCATTAATACTTGGCTAGATGCCATGTTAAGTTACAATCTGGGAAGACACTTCATGACCTAAGGAGTCCTTAGACTGTTAGAGCTGTCCCTGGGATTATGTCCTATTTATCTTGGATATACCCTGTTTGTCCACAGTCATTCATTGTCTCCCCAATTAGACAGTGTGCTCCTTGAAAGAAGGGATGGTCTTTTGCTTTTCTTTGCGTCCTGTGGCCCATAGCAGGCACTGACTAGATAGATACATGTTTCACTTGCCTATACCCAGAACGTGATTTAATGTCATGGAAGAAGTTATTTATTTTTAAAAGTACATTAGAATGATTCCAAAGGATGCATGATAAAAAATGCTAACCACCTACAGTGAGAGTGCTGATGAACTCTGAATGCAGAGTGAATCATGCTATTTTTACTTCCTTATTTTTCTTTTTTTTTGTCTGTGTTTTCTTTTGCAACTTGGCTGATATGGAAATATGTTTTGCATGACTTCACATGTATAATCACTATCAAATTGCCTTCTCAAGGAGAGGAGAGGGGTGGGAAGAAGAGATAATTTAGAACTCAAAATTTTTAAAAATAGTACAAAATTGGTAAATATTTAACAAAATAAATAAAAATATAAAAAGGCTACTATAAATAGGTTACAGAGGGCTTAATAGTAGGCTTAAAATTAGGGAACAGTCACCTTTGTTGTTGTTTCCTTCCTGTCTCTAGAAGAAAACACAAATTCATAAACTAAAATATTGAATTTAATAACAATATTAAAACATTCAATTTAATAATATTTAATGAAATAAATTTAATTATATTAAATATTTAATAAAATTTAAGTCCCCTGAATTCAGACTCCCCTTCAACTTTCCAGACTTATTTTAGATGGCTACACACTTCACACATTCAGTACTCCAGCCAAACTGATCTATTTGTTATTATTTCCTCAAATTAAACATTCTATCTCAAGCCTCTAGGATTTGTATGGGCTGCCTGGAATTCACTTCTCAGAATCCTTGGCTTCCTGGGAGGGTCTGTTCAGGTGTTGTTTTCTGCAGAAATTCTTTCCTGATTTAGAAGTTCTTAACCTGGGATCTGAGAACTTTGTTTCTATTTTGATAACTGTAATTCAATAATAATTCGTTTGCTTTGTAATTCTATGTAGTACTTAATTGTATGCATTGAAAAACATGATTCTGAGAAGGGGTCCATAGGCTTCACCAGACTAGCAAAGGTCCTCTCCCTCCTTAACTTACTTTTTCTTGTATCTCCTAATGGAATGGAAACACGATGAAGGTAGAACTGATTTTGTCTTGACCTCTGTGTCCCTACTTGGCACAATGAGTCTAAACACAGCATGTTGCTCATTTTTATGCACTGAATTGATTTCCCCAACCATGTACCAAGAACATCGCAAACTCAGACAATTTCCCCAAGCCATGTGTATTTTTTATTTTTCAGTGACTCAACCAACTGGTTTGGGGCTGCCCATCTGTAAAACAACATACTCTCCCCTGGCCCTGAAATGACTTAGAGAAGAAGAAAAAAAAATAACCCTAAGAAATAGGTGTTGCCCTTAGGTAGCATAAAGACAGACCCCACCCATTTGCTCTGTACCTAGAACAGCAACAGGAAAATTCCTGCAACGGAAAAACCCACCCAAATCAGATGTTCTGAGCATCAAGGGTGTACTCTGGGAAATTCAACTCCCAAAGTTCTTGGGAGACTGTCAAAAGTGGAAGGAACAAAGTCTACATAGAGAAAAGTTGGTATTTTTTTCAGGGCCTTCATATCCAGTTTAGAAATAAAGGAACCATTCCATGGTACATAAATGAATTTTAAGGAAACTTTAATGGGCAAATATTTTTTAAGAGGTAAAAAAAGGAGGAAAAAAAAACAATACTAGTGAATAGACTAAAAAAATTTCATAATATCTGCATGGGTACCTTGTCCCCACATACATCCCTTTGAAAAGCAGTATGTATGAGACTGGAGTGTTATCTAATCATATTTTTTCTTCAGGAGAAGGGGAATGGATATAAGGGAAATTTTAAGCTATGTAAAAACAAAAAAAATTCAATAAAATTTATTTTAAAAAAACTAATAAAAATGCATTGTAGAATGCTCTATTATACTTATTAGCTTGCTAATTTTTTCCCCGCTGAACTTAGTCAGCTGTAATGTATACTCATCAAAAACTTGACAGTGAGAAAAATATTCATTTTAACACATTTCATGTTTGAAGTTTTCCCTTCTTTGAAGAAGTATTTGTTAAAGGTCAATCAGAGAATTGGGCTCAACTGCAGTCTAAATCATTTATAAAGTCCTGAAGAGAGAGTCAGACCCCTATCCAGGGTTGTGGTTCCCCCTCCCCCTCCAGTGGGTCTTCTCTAAGATTTTACGGGGAGGTTTGGAACTACACTTGTACCCAATCAAGCATCATACCCTCAGGTCCCAGACACATATGTTCAAGGCATCCACAGATACTTAGGGTCCAATTGATTGACTATGCTCTGTCTTATGGAATTAGTGGGAATTGCTGGCAGTAAGTGAAAATATAGATCCAGCTCTTTAATGAAGAACTAAAACTAAAATTAATTGCTAAACCACTTGAAACACAAAAAATTTCTCACGCAATGAAACTAGAAAAGGGGAAGACTGTAGTCATAGCTTAGGCTACAGTTTGTCAAATGAAAGCCTTGATACATTCATGCTTAGCATTCTAGAATATAAATGCTGCATCATCTTTCTTGTTATATTCCCTAGGCTTATGAAATGATGATGATGATAATATTTCTACAGAGATTTATGGTTTGTAAAGAGCTTTACATGTGTTGTTTTATTTGATTCTCGTATTTGATCTTTGAAGCAAC